CGTTATGATTCAAATGTTCTCGGTGTTTATAAGGATTATCAATATACATTTGTACGATTTGAAGTCCTTTATGCTTGAATTTCAATTTATATATAAAATTTATATACATATACCCTTTTCCCATTACAGACGTCTAAATTCGATTGAAATTAAAATACTAAGAAGTGATTTTGGAAAATTCTACCCACAAGTGAGGTAAAAGCGCGATCAAAGTCTGTATGAAAACAATATGTTAAAATATAAGAAAAATTAAGATAAATTTGAAACAACTCTACAATAATAAAAGAGCTGCGGCAACCAACTGTGGAACGCAGATAATGGCTTTTATTGACCAAATCTTGAAAATCTGATATTGCTGCTTGGTGGAGTATTTGGTCACTCACTCGTACCTAATACGTAATTCGACTAAGAAGAAAATGTTTCCAATAATTTATTGTTTTTTGGCCAATTGTGTTCGAAATTCGAATTGGAATTATTTTATTGTATATTTAATATCTAATGAAATTAAAAAAATCAATCAAATAATGCTGCAAATCCAAAAACTTTAAAAAAACTGTTCACTTTGAATAATACGGTATAACATTTAAACATTTAACAATCAAGGATCGTGTAAGCAACAGCTTGCGTGATTCGCACGTCCAGCGGCTCTCAGCTCCTCGACAACCGCGAATATCATAGAAGTCTTAAAAGACTCCATTCACTTGACCCTTGGTTACAGGTCAACTAAAGTCTTTCGGATAACTTTTAATTGTAATCTCTTTATTTTCATAGTTTTTAATCCACTACGACAACCTAATTTCTAAGCTCCATATATATTAAGTAAAATTAATGTAATCTTGTTCTTTGTAAAATGCCACTACTCAAGCATATCAACTGATAATAATTGTCCTTCAAGGATAGATCTTAATAAAACAATTGAAAGAAACTATGATTAGAAAAATACTTGTATCTTGCCACAGTTTGAAAATATGTACAATATAGATTGAGTATTTTATGTTTGTATTCAGAGCCCCGCGAAAACTGAACAAAATTGGAAACAAACTGAATATCTAATTTGCAAGATAGAATATAATTATATTCTAAGAACTGTTCAAATAATTGTTCTAAATTCTGAAGCTCCTTATTATTGAAAGAATGAAAAATCTAGAAATAACTTTAAATCAAAATATGTAAACATTTTAGTGAAGTATTTTTCAAACCATTTCCTTAATAAAGATAAAACATGACTTCCTATGAAATTTCCACAATCTTCTGTTTTCTAAAATTTAACACTTATTGCAATATGAAGCGATTTCTTCAAAGATATTGAATGCACAGCTTTAACTTGTACCTGCAATGAGCAATCACGAATATAAATGCAATAAAATTGATCGATGCTCAAATATTAATCATTGTGTATAAGCAATATTTAAATGTTCGAGCAATTAATTAAATATTCAATGCATATAGACTAAACAATATTTTTAATGAAATGGCCATGGCCGAAGGCAATCATGTGTTTAATATTAATTTTGTCGACAGCAAACATGGCGGCCAACAAATTATGGGCCAACACAAATACACACACACCCACACAGACGTAGAAACAGGAGACACACAGATGCGGTCGCCAACATAAATTTTAATTAAAAATGCAACTCATATGGCAAGTGGAACAATTAGCACCTGAAAATATGCAAACATTAAATTGCAACTGCAACTGCGCCAACAACAATAAAAACAACAACAACAACAACAATAAAGGCGTGGAGTAATTTGAATAAAATGTTCAGCACTCTGGACATTCTCTTGGTTGTGGTTGTGGACCCGCTTACCATAACGTGTCCATAGCCTGCACATATTTTTGCCATACAAAGCGAACAACAGCGCGCACATCCTGCCTGCAGGAGCAAAGGATCACAACAGAGCGAGACAAGACGAAACGGAAAACATTGCATAACTTGTTGTTGTTGTTGTTGCTGTTGCTGTATTTACTGAACAATAGCCAGGCGGCAGTTGAAGTTTTTTTATATAAAAAAAAAAAAAAACAAACAAACAGACAGGCGGACAGCTAAATATTTCAGTTTTGTGGAACCTTTTTGCGTTCAACAGTCGCCGATATATACAAACATGCATATAAATGTATGTGCGGCATGCAATATGTAAAAGCTACGCGCAGCATATACTAAAAATCGCCAGCAACAACAAGAACAACAACAGTAACGAGCACACAAAACATGGCCACATATTCATACAATCGTTGATGCTGACGCTGCCGCTGCTGCTGTTGCTGTTGCTGCCAAAAAATCGACAAAAACAACCTGTTCGGAAACACTTGCAGCAAGGACATCAGCGGCGTGCGGCACAAACGGAGCAGGAAGTGAGAGAGCAGAGCAGAATAGAGCACACGTGCTACACACACACACACACACACACACTCAACAGGGTTGGGAGTGAGCAGCACAAGTTGGCAGGAGCAGAGCAAGGACAACAGCAGTTGCTGCTAAGCACCGCCTCTTTTCGAATCTCACGGCACAGTGGGCTCAAATATAAGTATATACAACTACAAAAGCCAATCCTTGTTGCATAATTATCCATCAGATTCATCTTACTATATACATAACTAATATGTATAAAGCAGTCAAAATGTATCAAAAGAAAATACAAATTATTAAAAGGTTAGAAGGTTTTCATATACTATTTATGTTTATCGATCCAACATATCATTAAAATACGCAGAAAAAATAATCAGATAATCTTTTAATTTTTCCTTTCTTGCATAACTATCCATCAGATTCCATCTTACTATATAGATAACTAATATGTATAAAGCAGTCAAAATTTATCAAAAGATAATACAAATTATTAAAAACCATGAAAGTTCTGCCAATAACTCGAAACTGAGCCCTAAATTGAACTCGAACTCGTCAGTTTTCTAAATAAAGCTGGTTTTCATATACTATTTACACAGATCCACAAATAATCTTTTAAATTTATTATTTTTCGAAGAGAAACTTACATAAAAGTTATCTGCGTAAAACAGAATGATATTTTATCCTGACAAAAGGTAAGATGAGAATTAACAGCTAAGAAAGGCTAAAACAGAATAGAACTTTGGATAAACTTTTCCAAGAAGAAGTTGTTACTAGATCTAATAAACAAAAACTAGTACAAAAAGAAAGAACTTAAATATTAGTTAGTTATATTCTTTTATATCAGACAAAATCTAAAAATGTTGAACTTAAACTCAATATCCAAAATTTGCGGTACTTCACATACTCTGTGTTATTAAATACGACTTATATCATTCAACATATTTTGTAGACAAGATAAATGCAGGAGATAAATCATATATGCAGTTCGATTTGTTGGAAACTACTATTTAACTGCACATAAATCAAGTATAAAACAATTCAAATTTAGATTTGAGGCAATAAATTACTTATGTATATTTATTTCGCCATTAATTTATTGTTAAAAATTATGAAAAGGCATTTAAAACGACCGGCTCGACGTAATATCTGTATCCATTCTAGGATAGTTCTCCGACTGTGAGATGAATGGTGGTTGAAACAGGCAGGACATCGTGATTTGGACACGTCTACCATTCTTTTGCGTAGTTGTTTCAAACTTACACACCAAAAACAATATACCAAGACACTTTCCAGTGAAGAAAATAAAAAAAATGTTACAAAAATTTGAAGGCTAGCGTTTCAAAACTTGCAGTCTAATTCATTTTCAAACTAAATACTTCATTTTTTAGCTCTAGCCACAAAACTTTCAGTTAATGTATATTATTACCTTTGACTTTATAAAAAAAAAGGTGCTAGTGCAGAAACAAAGACATCGATATTTTGAACATTTTTTCACGACAATTTGTTATCTCCAATTTGTTATCCTCCACTTCCCTTTACATTACTTTTTAACTCTGCCCCTTTACACAACTACAACATATTTAATAAATGATTTAGCACACTTTTGCATAACTAATTGAACACATTTGTGATGGTTGAATAATAATTTTCAAACTTTTTTTTTAGGAAAGACTTTCAACAAGTTCAGTGCATATTCAACATGTTTTAAAAATCTACGAAAATGTTTCTGGGCACTACAAAGAGGCTGTTGGTTTTGCTTTTCGTGCTGGCCGTTATGGCAGTTAGGAAGCGCACTTGTTTCGATGAGCCCTGTCATTCGTAAGTAACTCCATAATAGTTTTTTTTTTTCATAAAAAAAGTTACATTTTTAAGGGTGAATAAATTTGTAATTTCTAGCTACTTTTCTGGAGACAGTAATGTCTATGGCAATACGTAGGAAAGCGCGATAATAAATATGTGTTTAAAAAATAAATACGATTGTAGCTACAAATAAATGTAAGCTGTATTTTGCACCACTGTGCCGAGCACCATGTAAAATACAAAGCATACCCAAAAACAAAAACGTCTTTCGAATATGCCAACCTCACTAAACTCTCCGAGCCAGGCAGGCAGGCAGGTAGGCAGGCAGGCATGCTAGCAGCCAACCAACCACAAAGCGCGTCTGACGTTCTGCACACAATAAAACCACAGAATATGTTGGCAACTGGCAAAGCAGATGGGTTGACAGACAGACAGAGAGCACTGCAGCTGGCGAGCGGGAGAGCAACAACATAAGGGTGTCGAGCATCGAGCAGACGCCTCTCTGCAGCCCAGAATCAGGACAGATGTGCGAGTGCCGTGTGCGAAGAGTTTGTTTGAATGGGACAATATGAAAATTCCAACTGGACTCCTGATGCTGATGATGCTGCTGGTGGTGCTGCTGCTGGTGGTGGTGGTGGCGACTATGAGGACGACGACGACGACGACGACTACTTAAAGAGGAACAGATTGCGTGCGGGCAGCAGTCGAAAGTTGAATTTCGAATTGGACGGATAACGAACGCAAACGAGCAGCGAAGGCGCATGAAAGCGACTTCAAGAAAGTGACTTTGAAACAAGTGGACAAAAGCAAGTGAACAGTTATTTGTTGTGTGCGTTATTTTGTGCAATGAACCTTCTAATGGATAATTTACCGCAACACGCGAGTCCAACGCGCCGATCGCCACCGCAGCACACAGAGCTGAGAATTTCAACAAACACGCCGCCCGCGATGATGACTCGTGGCAGTCCCACGCAGCAATCAAATCACAACAACAACAACAACAATGAAACCCACACATCTCCAGCTGGTGGAAAGACTACATTGAAACGCTCCTTTGATGTTGCCTTTCTCATGATGCCCGATGAGCGTATTAAGCAGAAGCAGGCAGAGAAGCAGGCGCGTCTACATGAGGCACTGCATCATCATCATCAGCAGCAGCAGCAACAGCAGCAACAGCAGCAGCAGCAACATCATCAACAGCAACAACAACAACTGCAACAACAGTTGGCACAGTATCCCACAGATTTGTCGCCACGCGCCATCGCTGCGCCCGCTTCACCGCCGGCGGATTACATAAGCCTGTTGGAGGCCCGACAACGCTATCCACAGCTCAACATTCGTTCACCCCGAATTTATGATGACCCCACGGTAATAATTCCACTAGTCGACTCCCCGGAACCTTCCCCATCGCCATTGCGCAGCGCCTTCACCAAGGTGGCCTCGTCGCTCTCGACATCCTCATCATCAACCACCTCGTCATCGACTGCATCGCGTTTGGAGTCCCCAGTGGATGTTAGCGCACCACCTCTGAGTCCCGATCAGTTGAGCTGTCCCTCGTTGAGTCCACCGCTTGCCACGCCTCCACCACGCACCAATAGTGGCGGTGGCAGCAGCAATGGAGCCACTAACATGCCACCCAATAGTCTGCCCAGCATCGTGGTTGGCTCCATGCCCCCCAATCCCATTGTCTACCACAACTTTCGGCCCGAATATCAGTTCAATGGCGCCTTCCAAGCCGTCAGTCCCATGCAGGCTCTGCAGGCTCAACGGCTTAAGCAGCAACTGCTCTATCGACCACCGAATGCCAATGGCGGTGGTCCGAATGGTGTGGCGAATTCGGGATCAGTCCCGGGTGGACCACCTCCGGAATTTTTACATGCCTATTCAGGATTTCCATTCCCGCCAAACGCCGCTGGCGGTGCTAACCCACATCCCGCCCATCCCTTTGCTGTGGCTCAGCCAGAGTTGCCACGCATCGTTCAAAATCCCGCCGCGGCAGCAATACTCTCCACACTCATACCGCCTACGCTGGCCTCCACCTTCACGCTGACCGCTCAGAATGTGTGTGCCAAGTGTAACATTAGCTTTCGCATGACCAGCGACCTAGTCTATCATATGCGATCCCATCATAAGAGCGAAGTTGCCTGTGATCCCAATCGCCGGAAGCGCGAAGAGAAGCTGCGCTGCCCCGTCTGTCAGGAGACTTTCCGCGAGAGGCATCATCTTACTCGCCACATGACCGCCCATCAGGACAAGGCCAGCGACCATCAGGCTAGCGACGAGACAACTGATGGTGAGATCATCAACGTCGTGGGTGGTGGTGGAAACCCATTAGGACGGCGTGTTCCCAACGTTTCGAAATGATCGAAGCATTTTTTCGGATATTTTTAAGTTCCCTTGTGTGTTACAATTGATTTTTATCTGGTCTGTAACCTTACACCGACCCCACCCACAAACCAAAATGTTTCATTGTGATATTAATTTTAGTTCTCTTCTACCTACATAAGTCTTGTGTTGAAAATATTCGCATCATTTATGTTTACCGTTTATTCAAATAATCGACTTAGTGCAATGTCTTTATTAAGATCACAATATACGATTACATACGTTCCACAGAATTTATAAAACCCAAAACTGTAGAGCTCTAGTTTAAGCAATTGTAAAATATTAGCATTAAGTTTCAAGATCTCTGACTTATTAGCATTTGATGTATTGTCTGTGGCTGAATGTTTAAATAAATATCTAATTGTTACTTAAAAATTAAAGTCTTTTGATTGGTTTAGAAAAGAAAGATAAGGGTTTGTGCACCAATTTGAAAAAAAAAGTGATTAATACTAAAGTTCTTGATCCACCACACGGTATTTGGAGCTCAGAATAAAAGTTTAATAAAGGTTGGCTTAGATGCCCCACGTTGGGCGCCACATATTTATACGCTTGCCGTGAATTCTGCTACAAAAATGTGGTAAGGAGTAAATATGTAATTAGATTTAGCGAAACCGTTTTTAAAATTATATCAACAATATTTTTAACTGGTTTTCAAGACAACTTCCTCACTGGCGTAGATATTTCCAGAATTAAATATTTATATGTGCATTATGGGCATTCAACTTGATTTAGACGATATTATCGTTTCCCACACGATGCCAAATGAGCTTCGCTATCCAATGCCAGCTCATTCGAAAACATACGCGATTCTGCCGGCGAGAATATGCTCGACTTGTTAGCGCACTGAAGCTGAAATCACATGGATCCAAAGGCGAACGTATGCAGCAATTAGTTGCGCCAACAAAAACTGCGATGCCGGCGCTAATGAGTTGATTTTGTTGGCCTGAGAACAATGCGATGGGGGTTACTAGGCACTGGCCAAGTCCGAGTAAAGCAGAGCAGAGCTCGCCAGACGGCATAACTAATGTTAAACACGAGCTTCAAGTGTCCCTCGCGGAACTGTGGCAAAATCATTTTCGAATTTCAATATTTTTGCACTCAACTGAAGAGAAGCAACAACAACAACCCCTGCCTGACCTGACTGCAGTCAATAACGAAAGAATCGCTTCTGTTCCCATGAGCCACAAATTTGTAGCATGCCAAATTCTTACAAAGCGCAACGAATGCCTTGGCACAAGGCCTCAGGGTGGTGGGTGCTTGGATGCCGCTCAAATGAGCCACAGCGAATCTCGTTGATTTAGCGTGGCCAAATCCTGTTAGCCTGCATTGCCACAATTCTCCCAGGATCTCTTACTTTATCATCAACTGATGTATCAATTGATGGCGTTGCTAAATGCCCTACTGCCGTACTGACAAACTCCGCTCATCTTTCGCATTGTTCCCATGATGGGATTAGCGATTTATGGCTTCATGTTCACAGCTTACCGACTAGATAAGGACATTGCAGGCTGTTTGCTGTGGGGAGCTATACGAGTACTCATAGCATGTTCTCCAGTTAGCTAGAGGATAGAGAATATTTAATAAGCAGTTGGGTAAAGAGTTGGGTGGGGTTGCCATCAAAAAGGCAGCAAAGGGTGGTTGTATATTTAATATAGCATAGATATATATTAAGTTGTATAACTTACTAAGTCTGGATAGCTGTTGATCTTCTTTCCTTTCTTTTTTTTATACCCTGTACCCGTAGGGTAAAAAGGGTATATTAGGTTTGTGCAAAGTATGTAACATACAGAAGGAAGCATCTCCGACCCCATAAAGTATATATATTCTTGATCAGCATGACGAGAGAAATCGATCTAGACATGTCCGTCCGTCTGTCCGTCCGTCTGTCCGTCCGTCTGGATGAACGCGAGGATCTCAGAAACTATAAAAGCTAGAATAACCAAAATTGGCATCCAGATTCTCATAGGTCCGAGTAAGGACGAGTTTATTTTTTTTTTTTTTAATTTTCCCCCCCTTCCCCCGCTGCAGAATTTCGTTAATAGCGTTCACATTTCAAATTCTACCTAAACCAAACTTTGCACACATAATTTATATATAATTGTCTACTGTTGTTCAAAATTATTATTATATTTATTCAATTTGATCAATTCTAAGAAAAGTTATTAGCAAAACAAATTCTCGCCAGTACAAACCCCACAAACTGCAGCAACAAGTTCGCTCTTCTTCTTCCTCTTTTTGCTGCTGCTATGGGCGCATATAACTCAGTGACGGAAGTTTACCTGGGTACAGGGTATTACACTGTCGGGCTTGCTCGACTGTAGCGTTCTCTCTTGTTTTTATAATAAATTATCTTCAAGTTATTAAACTAGTATTCTGCCACCAATATGGCAGCTTAAGCTAGCTAAAAATTAAAGATAATACAAAATTGTCCATATATCTATAGGACACACTTAAGGGTGGTTGATAGGATAGATATATATTAAGTTGACTTGGACTGCCGTATTATTATAGCTCCCATCTTGTTTGTATAACTTACTAAATCTGGATAGCTGTTGAGTTTGTTTCACTTCTCGTATTCATTTTCTATTTTTAAATGAAATATTTACAAATATGCAAATTTGTAGTTAAAAATAGTAGTATGTCATTATAATCTTATGCTATTGTTGTAGACAGGGCAGTCTTATTTTTTGTAAGGCATTGACTCGAACCTTAAACTAATTCTTACGCCAATAGAATTTGAAGACCGTGAATCGGCTTAGCACTTGGCCACCCAAACCGCAAGGTATTCCACACTGTTTCCTTTTTTTTATTACTTGAAAAATTTATTAAACTACCATTTTAAAATTAGTGTGCAATAAAAATAAAAAAGGGCATTAAATATGTTATTGTACAACCAATACAATATACAAAAGTGGAATTGAAAATAGTTGTGGATTTAGTTTCTCACTTGAATTTTAAATTCAAACACGACATGCTCAAATGAAGCTTTTGTGAATTTCACTACATGATTAAAATGTTCGCGTTTCTAAATGAAATGCGTTTAGCAGGGAATATAGATTTCCTCAGAAGACAGGACCATTAGTATTCAGCGTTTGGCATCCATACTGAGTACTTTGGACATGCAATTTAGGTATTGATGATTATACATATCTTTAAGCCATTTACAATTAAAATACAAAATAAGGCAAAGGTATACAAGTAAATAAATATATTCCAATACAAATGTTCGCTAGTTTCAACCATTTTTGCAACAATTATACAAGACGGAAATTCTTGAAAACACAAACAATAATAAATGGATGCTAAGATCTTCCCTAACTATATTCAAATACTTCTATAGTAGAAGATATAGTTGCCCTATAAAAGAAATTCAGACAAATCGGATACATCGCAACCCTAACTTAGGAGTAATGTATGAGTGATGGTATTCATATAATTAAGAATTCTGACAATAATTTGTTAGCAAAAGAGGCGTTAATTGCTTGAAAACATATTCGACCAGCGTGATTTAAACCGCTTTTTAAGGAACATGCCACGTACTTGTAAAATACATAGAGAGATCTTAGCATTTAATACTGAGATCTAGTTATATACTCGTATTACAAAGAATCTAATTAAAGGCAAGGAAAAAAATTATAATAAATGTAACAAAATTAAACAAATTAGGGAAATGTAGTACGAATCCAGCTTCTTTTCCAGATAAACTGTTTGTCAGCGTAGCGTTCGAAGATACTTTATTTAATTACAGGATATATTGATGCAACATCCAACACATATACTATACACATATGTATAGAAAAGCTTTTTCCATAGGGATAATAAAAAATTGAAAACTAAATTTGAACAACCTCAACCACATATGTATACAAGTACATGATATTATTTATATTGTTACCCTAACATCAGCACTCGTATCACTACATTATTCATTTCCCCAACGAGCAATTTCAACTTCCTTAAAAACAATTACAACTTCCGGCAAGCAAGCACTCGCACACACACCCACACACACACACAGAGACACTTGCATATATTGGCAGTCGCCACAAACGTCTCGTAAAGCAAACACATCGTCAAAATCACATTTCCTCATTTACCAGAGCCACTGAGCCAACGAACCCACGAAGTGCTCGAAACAACAGCCAGAGTGCTGGCGCCCAAGGCAACCTCAACTTCATAATAAGCCTCATCTCATGATGGCGCACAAGCCACACAACAATGCTGCGCTACATAATAACCAGCCATAATCACATTTCATATTTATCACATTTTTACGCCCACAAGCGTGGGCTGGGCCGGCCGGGCCTGGTCTGTCCTGGCCTGGCTGGGGTTTGCTGAGACGACCTGCGCTTTGTTTGCACGCCTAACCTCGCATTTGACCGTAAATAAATTGCCTGCTCATTTGATGGCTTCAGTGGCTTCATTTAAACGTTAACGCAGTCAGCCCCAAAAGTCGCAAGCAGCGCCAAGCCACCAATGCGAGAGCAAACGAATTTCCCACAGATTTCCCTTTGCCCCCGAGACGCTTCTTCCCACGATTACCTCCCTTCCTGACTGGTCTCTGTTGCTCCCTTGACGAGTGTTGACGACGACGACGGCGATGGCGATGGCGTGTTCAAATACGTTTAAACACAATGCAAATACCGTTATAATAGCTCAGCAGCAACAACAGCGGACAGCGGCAGATGGAGTCATTGTTGTTGTTGTTGTTGCTGCTGTTGTTGTTTCGTGCCTGCGCCAGAGGCCGTGTAACGCCCCCCTTACATAATAGGTCGGTGTGCGTATGAGTGATTTTTCTCATCTGCGCTTAAAAGTATGCAAATATATTTTTGTGGCCACGAGAAGAAGGGTTGGAGCCGCCTCCTCTCTATTCCTCCTCTTTGCTGTGCTGCCTTCCATTTTATGTCTTTATTGTAATCATTGTTGTTGCTGCTGCTGCTTCGCCCGCCACCGTGCTGCGCTATTAAATCAGCAAAGTGTTTTTAACTGCAGGCAATTTAATTTCCACAAAGTTGACGTTCGCCGGGCGTTTAATTTTTATGCAGCCGCACACAATTGACGTTGTGGAAATTTATGCATGTGATTAGCTGAAGACAATTTAAGCGCCA